GAGCGCTCTATTTCCTTTCTCCTTTTACGGAATATTTATATTTTCACACTCTTACGTTTATATTTTACCGCGCTATCTTTTACCGTAATATTTCAAGAGAGTACCAGTGAACTCCTTGAATTTTTATGGGGGTATAGAATGGCAGTGGACGGAGATCACCCTCATCTACCCTTCACTAAGAGGACAGGACTAGTTCTGTGACGAAAAACATAGGGTGTGGATGGTGACGGATCAGACGACGTCATTCCAGTTCCTTGGCGGATTATCGTTTTGCGCTCCGGATCCCCTTCTTGTGAGGGCGTTTATCGCCTCTTTCAAGTCTTCAATTTTCACTCACCATCTCCCATAATCTCGAAAAGTGCCTCAGAGTTGTTGTCGTGATTCTGCCTCATGTATCACCTGGCCTTGCGACAACGTTATGCGTGACCCATTACGCAATCACTCTTTAGCTGCATGGGCCAACCAATTTCCTCGGGAGGCCAGTAATGCCTCACTCTCCTTCCCCATTTGCCATTTGGAACATTTAGGGCTTTCTGGAGAGATTCGAGACATTATTTCGTTGTCGGTGATGTTTTGCCGTGGTCAACAGGTGTGTAACAGATTGGTGCCGTCTCGGCTTGGCTAGGTTCATTGGGTCCCCTTGTCGCAATCCCGAACGAACCTCATCGGTGTCCTCATTCCACCTCGACCATCCGACTGACCTTGTCCTTGTCGAGTCGCCAATTTTGCTAGTATTTCCACAGTATGTTTTGTGTCGTTGCTGTGACTGTAATGTGATACTTGGCTGTTTGAGCTGGCCGTAAATCGCGGAATTGTTTCCGGTCTGGATGGACCCACTGCGATTTCCATTTGTTTATGTGGGCGGGCGTTCCCATGGGGTTTTGATCGCACCGCCGGACATCTTCAGATCTGACCATGATGATCCCGCTCGGATGTGTCCAGATGATCCAGTTGACCACGGGTATCCGCGGCTTGGGTTTTGGCATGAGAACTTCTCGAATGCACTTTCCTTCTTTGCAAGATATGCTTCTTGTCCGTAGTATTTTTTGTATTTTGTTTGTTTTTTGTTTTGATCAACACGCCTCTCTACCTCCTGCTAAATAACCAAAGTAAATCACTCAGTAACTCAATAAATGTTACGTGTCA